AGGACAGTAGGTCCCCCTCCTCATTATCATTATGGCCCCCACCCGCCGCCCAGGGGTGGGGGCCGGAGAGGGGGAGGACAGTAGGTCCCCCCCCTCATTATCTTTATGGCCCCCACCCGCCGCCCAGGGGTGGGGTCCAGGGGGGGGAGGAGAGTAGGTCTCCTCCCCCCCTTCAACCAGAAAGAGTCCCTGTGGGTTTTAAAATTCGCCTGCCTATTGAAGTCTATGGCGGTTCGCCAGGTTCGCCAGGTTCGCGAACATTTGTGGAAGTTCGCGTTCGCGGTTCGCGAACCGAAAATTTTATGTTCGCGACATCACTACTCTTGAAGTCTTGATAACTGACAATCTACAGTTAAACCAGTTTAACTGTTCCTGAGATTTATGCATTAGGAGGAGAATATGTAATTTAGTGGGCAGGCAATTGGCTATTTAATCCCGGGGTCTAATCTGAGAGGTAGGGTCATCTTGGAGGAGAAGAGAGAGAGAGACCCACATTAAAGCTGCAAGAATTATAAACTGATTTTACCTGTTGTTCCTCACGTGTTCTAGCATCATCACAATAAGATAGCCGGGGATTGTATAAGTATTAAAACTGTATGATTTCTGATATATTTTATACTTTAACTTCACTTCACTCTGTTAATTATCTGCGATTTATCATAGCATAGTACATGCAGTATTTCAGTATTAATGTTCTGTCTGTGTTTAATTGTAATTTTGCATTTTAATTTATTATACCTTTTAACCTTTTTTTAATAAACATTATTTACTTTGCCAGTTTCAGAGTGATTGTTATAATTGGTGATTAGCTGCTAGGATTTAACTCTGCTAAAATAAATTACAATACAATCTGTTTGCTGTGCTTTTAGTTTACAGTAAGTCTGCTAGTTAATGTAATTGTGGTTGTATAACACTATGTTGTTTGGGGGGGAGGGATTCCTGTTATAAGAATTCATATTTCGTAATTCATATATTATAGGTAGCACATGGTCTACGGCCATCTTGGTACTCCCAAAGCACATGTTCTGCAAGCACTCTAGAACTCCCAAAAAGGATTTTTGGAAGCAAACATATTCTTTGGTATAGTGAACCTAAACACTTAGCGTAGTCGGCAGGATTTTGCCAGAGTTATGAATATAAGGAGTTAATAACCAAATGAATATAAATATACATTTTTATTTAAACACTAATGTTTTTTCCCATCGTGATTTAGTCAGTAAGCCTCCCAAGTTATTTTTGGGTGACAATACCATACCACGACTATAGGGGTGTATTTTTGTGTTGTCATTGCTACAAGAAGCTTATTCACTAAACGGTGATTTTTTTGTATTATTCTGTTAGACGTGGGTCCAATGTCATCACATGTGTAACCGTACTATTTATACAGGATCTTAAATGACTATTGCTTTTAATGCTCCTAGTAAAAGGTAACTAACTTAAAATCATTGAATTCGTTATTAGTTACTAGTAATTAATAACTGGGTTCTCCTGATAAAGGGTGGCTGATTACAGTTACTGGCAACCTATAGCTTTAATTCTGCTTTTAAAGGGTGATTGACTTAACTGCATTGTGTAAATGATATTTATTTGACACTAACATAGGGATATAGAAAGTCGCCTGTTGTACATGTGTTGCGTGAGTGCGATCTGTAATTCAGCTCGTTTGTGTGTGCTTTCCTTTCCACTATAATTTACGTGTTTCTCCAGTGTCAAAGTTGATACACACAAGTGCTTGTAAACAAAACTGTCACTTTTCTTGACATGCGCACAGTCGTTATTCGGCCTGTGGCATTTTTACCCCCAAAAAACACAGACACCGTATTTCTGTTGGAAATATAAAAGTCCACAGCTTTATTTTATTGTAATAAAAACAAGATAACAAATTGGGGTCATTGCCGCATAATAATAATTTACTAACATCCCCTTCCGTACAGAATTACCCCTGGCAATGGCCCCTTACCATAAACAATATATAACAATATAAATAACACATAATATATAACACATGGCCCACCAAAGAGGCCCCATAACCATAACTTCCTTAACTGTAGGGGTGTACCGATGAGCTCGAACCAACAGACCACTTACCACTCTGGCCTAATCCAGCCTAACCTTAGCCTAGCCACTTGATATTCCTCTTCCATCCCAATTACCCAAGCCCTATCTCGCCACAGCCCGAGACTTGATATCTTAACGTCTCGAGCGCCCCCCACCACACAGAAATAGGGCCCGCGCTATACCCTCCTGAAAACCTTAATTCAGTAAGTCACACCCCACTTCCGAAAGGTGTACCCCATCCTTGCGAAAGTACCCAGGCAGCATACCTTCTAGTTCCCAATGCCGCACCGGGACCCCGCCTAACCTCCGGACGAAAACTGACATGGCTTTATTCACTTTATCCCGACATCGCACCACAGCAGCTGGGTCCCTGGCGTGTCTCCAATTAAATCGAGGCACCATCTCTGACCATCCTACCACCACGCCAGGAACCAGCTCCCGTAGCTGATCTAAATCCCTCTTCATCCTCCTAATCAGTTCCCTTTGGGGAACCAAACCCAAATCATTACCCCACCGTGAATTAGTATTATGTCTGGGGAGGCCCCCCCGAAATCCTCCTGAAAATCTCTCCACTAATGCTCTGCCAGCTAAAACCACGAAATCCAAACCACTGTAACTCCACCATTTCCAGAAGAAAACCCAGCTGTGTTCCGTTCCTCTGAACTGCAGCCCTCTTCTGTGCCCAGTAAACGTATGAGTGACCCACCAACCAAGTGACCAGACCTGAAAAGAAACAAAATCACTTACCCAGCAGAGCAATAACACCCCCCAGCCTTCCCACAGCCCCCCCGTTACACCAACCTGTCTGGCCGTACGTACGAACGGAACCGAATGGACTCCCACCTACCTATATGTTTAATCCGTTCGTCCCCCAATCCCATTCGAGCCGCCTCCGTTGCCGCCCCTATGTGAAACGAATGTGTTCCGAATTGCATGGGTTGGAGGCCCAAATTTTGTAGCCCCATACGGAATACCCGGACAAATTGAAAACGTGACAGCGCAAAGCCATCCTCATGGACTAAAAAACATGGCCATTCCCGCTGTGTCTCTGTTGCTGGGTGCCCCCCCTGCCACCAGGGGAACGGCCTGCCCGCCACTTACAGCCTCCTGCCTGTCCCCTTGCCGCCCAGCTCTTACACCATCGGCCGACTCACCAGGACGCCTCAGGTCTCCGCTTCCTCCTCCTCGTCCCTCCGCGTTCCCGGCCTCCACGGATGCCATCGCTGTCCTCGCTGCCCTGCCCGACCAGCACTGCGTCGGACAGACGGTGCCGGACGCGTTCTCCCCGCTCCTCCTGGCCCGCATCCGCAGCCAGGGCCCCACCGGCATCCGCTGACGGACTCCGACGTCTTCGTGCTTCAGGCATCACGCCCAGACTCAGCCACTGGGGCGGTCTCGCCCTCCTCACCGGACGCAGCTCCGCAGCTACAGGGAGGTTAACAGCAGTACCAGGAGCCCCCAGTTGTTTCTGAAGCCAGGCCATCCCTCTGTCCCGCACAGCTGCTCTCACTCCCTCCAACATCTCGTCCAGCGATGCCATGATATGAAAAAAAAAGAAGAACCCACACAGACCTGCCAAAGACAATTAACAGGTAAGTGCAGATTCTGATTAAAATGGCCACTTGCTAAAATGGCCGCTTAATATACTCCTTTCTTCTCCACCCCTTTTACACCCCATTCCTAATTACCCACCCCTAATTATTTAACTCCACCTGCCTACTCCTTGGTTCTGTCATGGCCCACTCCCCTGACTGCGCTGTTCCATGGGCTTCATTCCTGTGTGTGAAAGTATATTTATATAAACATAAGTGCAGCCTGCTTGTGGGTGTGTTAGTGGTACAATACGTACTAGTAAGGCTAGTATGTGATTGTAAACCTGCCCAGATTTGACTCATTGCTATTCTCCCTGATTGCCGCCTGGTTATTATTTTAGTAAAATATTCGGCTTCCAGATTAAGTTCCCTCCTGTTTAGAGTGACATTGGAGAGCTTTCTTCCAGGCACTCTGTCGGTGCTAAAATATCACCTCTGAACACCTTTGCACAGAGCAAAATGCACAGTACTTTCACCAGGTATTTTAGACATTGCTCTGTTTCACAGCTGGGTACTGCTACTTAATGCTTCCAGGCACAGCATCAAAAATGTGTACCTGTGTGTGTCAGAAGGGCTTGAAGATGACCATCCATCTCACCCAGGCTTCCCAGGGTAAAGACCCAAAATGTGGAGGGGGCATTCTCAACATCATAACACAAAGAATTACCTCCTACAGTCCTGCCAAACTAAACCCGTTATAACATATGCATTTCCAACATAATGTGAACACTTTAAATGCCACTATGTAGTCTCAGTGGTTCTTAAATTTAATTATTCAAGTGCCAATATAAACTAACCCTTAAAGTCCCAATTTCCAATTTCTGTTTCCTAGTACCTATATGGGTGAACTCTTTATGGGCACATAACACTCCAGTAGATTTTCTTTGTCAATGAACTCTCCATGAGTCTCACTCGTCCCAGTATTTAGTTAGACCCTCTGGAACTGAATTGGGAATTTCCTTTACATGGGGCCTAGAGTCTCCGGGTAAGAGGTTAGCTGTCAAATCACTCTGCAAACTTCTCTTACAGGTACCCATACAAAAGGTTGGGGCAATTTATATTACATGAATAATTAACTAAAATAATGTAAATTGATATTATTCTATATTGAAAGCTTGAAGCTTGGAGAATAGCATGTTTCATATATACATTTCGCTAATATTAAAACAAAATGGATTTTGTAGTGAATGGGTGGAAGCAGTGGACATATGTTCAAAAAGCTTTTTCATGTTGTTATGATTTCACACAGTCACGGTATTTGTGTTTATAAAGGGGATGTTCTTATACAGAAAAAGGAAGGGACAGAACTCTGCTCCCTTTACAGACTGACAGCTCAACGATAGAGAAAAAATGATCTATATTCACATCTGGATCTTAATATTCATCTTCCTTCCAAAAAGTAAGTTCACATTCTGTATGATATCAAATCTCATCTTTATTAAACAGTGTTGGCAGGGGGATTGTAACATTTATACAAATACTGTAGATGGAGAGATGTCAGACTGCCGAACTGGACATTGTTTGACAGAATACAGTATAATTGTATTAGTGCCGCTCACTAGATTAGAGGTGTGGGCAGATTAAATTAAATATTTGCGACATTGTACTCTAACTCTTAAAGATGCATCTGCTCTCCCTGATTTTCATGTCAGAGTAAAGGCTAAGGACACACTACCAGCCGTGCAGTTTAAAATTTAGCCAGGGAAGATCCCTCCTCAATCTTTAATGTTTTACCCAAACTCAGTGTGAGCTGATAAGGGTTCCAGCAATCTGAGTCTATTGAAAGAGATAAATGATTTATAACTACTGTATTACCACATATCATATACTTTTTCACACTGTTCTGACTCAACTGCAATATGCCTTTTTATGATTCTTGTACGCTTTTCTTTTAGTATTTGCAAAAACATCAATAACGAAAAAAAAAATCCTTCATTTTTCATTCTTTGATTTCTCCATGTGGATTGATTAGTGATTGCAGATAAAACTGATATACATGTAAGATATTCAACTATTTAATTCAAACAGCTATTAATCCTGTTAACTTGTTTCCTAGGTATATTGTGTGCAGAGTCATGTGGAGATAAAAGGACAGTTTTTGGCGCAGTGAGAGGAGATGTCGTTCTCCCTTTGAACCAGACTGCAATCAAAGATATAGCTTGGGTGACCGCTAATGTCCATTTTGCCTCAACAAAACCAGGCGGAGATATAGACATTCTAAATAACCGATATGAAGGCAGACTGTATGGAACGGCTGATGGGTCTTTAAACTTTACTAAACTAACCAGTGAAGACCAGGGAGAATACACTGCACATATACTCACAGGCCCCAAAATCAAGTTCTGTGAACAACAGTACGATCTCCGAGTGTTCAGTAAGTGTCCGTATTTATCAATGTATAGAGTGTACACAAAGTATCAGTGAGATTAAAGGAACACACCAGATTTATCAATAAATACATTTATATAAAACGCAGAGTGTTGTAAAGTGTTTTTAGATCACTGGCTGCCCCTTTCCTGTAAAATAAAGCTGTTACTTCACTAAACCATTTATCAGCTGAAGTGCTTTAGGGGTTTGCAGCGTTCCTTTAGCCTTCATTACCATAATTTATAGTGGGTAAACACAGTGACAGCTGGTTACATGTTTTATTGACATTGTTACTGTGTAACCATTACTAGTGATTTCGTGCCTGGCATCACCCTGGCAGATAGATTCCTTTTCGTTCATGCTGGAAGTGCGTGCCCTGCTTTTACCCACTGAGACAGTTTATTTTTGAAAGCACCAGAGTCTCAAATATTGTCTCTGACATCTAAACTGTAATCATTATAAAGCTTTGTTATTGCCTGAAACATGGTCAGCAACCTATGGCACTCGAGGTGCCTTAGCACGACATTCATGGCTGCCAGAGCCAAACAGGCTCTGGCCTACCAGGAGTCCCAAGTGCAAACCAAGTGGTGATTGCAGGTGGTGAGGGACAAGCCTCAATTTATGCATTGCAGCACTTAAAGGAAATTATCTCAAATCACTTCTTACCAGCACTTGGTAACAGGTATACGCACTGGAGTCGAGCATCCCACAGCAGCTATTGCAGCTCCTGCCCTTAATCTGCACCTGGCCAGCCCGGTCCCCACTGGACCCCAGGAAGTCATCCACACTGATAGTTATACAGAGAGCTGCAGGATAACCCTCCACTTCATACAAATAATGCAAACAGACCACACAAAAACACACACACACAGGCCCCACAAACGCAACACCACTGACAATCCACATACATGCACACAACCCTACAAGCAGCCTCTCACATGCAATACCTCAAACAGCCCCACGCATACACACACAACCAAACACACAAAGTGACATAACAACCACACGTACAACTCCACAAGCAGCCCTCATTCATAGATATCATACACAACACCACAAACTACGGTATCATTGACATATACCACGTAACAGCCCACATACACACAAATACAACACTACAAAGCAACTACAGCACCCATACGGCAACATACACGCCTCGGTTTAAAAAAATAGGACCATCACGCTAAGGGTAAAATGTTGTTTTGGTACAGTACTACTTAAAGGTTGTCTATCTCTGTCTATCCTAACGGCAAAGTGATCAAAGAGAAAGAAAAGCTATTATTTAACTACAAAGCACATTATCAACCGGGTGTTTAGATGATGGGATTGATAGTCCAGCAAGAAAACTGGAAAATGGTCCTAATGATCCAGTGATGTGAACATTTAGATTCCTAACTGCATTAATGTCACAGTTTGATATAACGTGTTATCTGATTGAAGATAAAAAACAAAATTTATCTCTATAAATTATGTTTATCAATAAATCAAGAACATTTATTAAATTTATTAATATATTTCAGTATGTGTGAGGAAATGGGTTATTTTAATAAATATTTTCATTAACTAAAATATACCCCATGCGTGCAGACTGTAACATAATGTGCTACTCCCTCCTATGTGTACACAGTGTTAGTAATTTCATGGTGCCAGGGTCTCCTACCATTGCTGACAGTGTGAGCGGACAGTTACTAAATATTAATGTGTTACATAGCATTGACCAATCAAGTCAAGGTGGGAGGGGCTAAATAAAAAGGAAGACAGTTCACAGATCCCCACCTCCTGCGCATGTTGCTTGCTTATTTACTGGGAATTTGCCACTCCACTATCTCTTTTCCAAATTGTTTTAATGAAATTAACAATTTAATTTAAATTTGGACAAAGTAAAAGAATGTGCGAATGATATTCAGTTTGGCCTGGTCAGTTGCAAATTTCGAACAAACCAAGTTGGCAAGCCTTTGCACATCCGGCACAGCATGGGGGAAAAGGTGAGTTTAAACACATTTTCACTGCTCAGATAGGGGCTTGGACCTAAACTGCCGCACCAGCTTTATAGTGTCAGAAATACACGTATGTTCCTTTAATATATAATAGGAGTAATGGAATATTAGATTAATCAGGGTAATTTTTACACATTTTGGGTTCCTGCAGGCATTGATTAAAAGCAGCTCTATGATGAGATGCTAATTGGCCAGGGCTGCGTTTGGTTCCTCCCCCGCCCCGCCTCCATGACTGAGATCATTGATAATCTCAACCAATCCAATGCTTTTCTATGGGCAAATATTGAATTGCCTGAGATCACTAATTCTGATGATCTCAGTCAAGGAGGCAGACCAGAGGCGGGCCACAGCCAACGGACCCTCAAGGTGCTGAAATAAAGGTGAGTTTTTACTCTATTTAATGAGGGCAGGGGACTAAATACTGTAGTGTTTTTAACACCATAGGGTCAGGAATACACGTGTGTGTTCCTGACCCTGTAGTGTTCCTTTAACATACAATACAAGTAACAGATGTTAGATTAATCAAGGCAGTTTTTACATAATTTGTTAAATGGATCATATGGCTAATCCCCTCAATATATTTCTTTAGACCTGATTTTCTCCAAACTGGGCTTTTAGAGGAATTAGAGGCTATTAGATGAATGGGTAAAGCCTCCATTTGAATAAATTGATAAAATAAAAATCAATTGCTATTCTGAATGGTACATGTCGTTGTTGCAATAAAATTTAAATGCTATGCAGCTATGGTGCCACTTTGTCTGCTCAACCTATTGGAAAGAAAAAAAATCACGACTGACAATGCGTTATTTAATTCATCCATATAAAAAAATGATCCAAATGTAATGGCCGAAATTCAGATGAACAAAATTTCTCAAAGTACAAAATTTGTCTTTGGCTGAATTTTTAAAGAAAACGTAGATGAACCAAATTTTTCGCTTGTGCACAAGTCTGTTAATGGATGGTGCCAGCAATCACTGTATTTGTCTGTTGTTAGCCAAAGCTAAACAGAGTAAAAAGCATCAACCGTGGACTGATTAACCCACAATGTATAATATTATTATATCAACATTTTATATACCTATTCCAGGAACATTGCTGCCTGAAGATATGGAGATTCTCCCCAGTGTTACCAGAAATGGAACCTGCAGGGTCAGTTTATTTTGTATGGTAAATGGATCTGATGTGAATATTACCTGGATCAGCTCAGACAGCAGTGCAATAAATGTGGTTAATGGATCACTGCATGTTACAGATACAGATAACATCTTCAAGTGTACTGCGCACAACTCAGTCAGTACCATCTCCAGAACCGTGAATCCACAGAGATACTGCCAGGAAGGTAAAAGTGTGTAATTATTACCGTTCTATTTACTGCATGTGTCACTATTCACAATACTCATTACATACATGTAAACGTATGTTATCTTATTTAGATTGCAAGCTCTGTCAATCTGTGAGATCTACCACTTGAATTTCAGAGTGCTTCACAGCTGTAGCTCTTTTCCTGAACTAATGACAATGCTAAATTTAAAGGGAAATATACAAAAAGAATCAAGCAAAAATGTACTACTAATTTACAGTATCGTGGTACAATATATACGTCTACAAAAGGTAACAAAAGTATAGCAGCACCTTACCAGTGGAAAAGCTCTAAAAACACCCATTCAATCAAATATAAGATAAAAAAGGTGCGCGGTACCTTTAAAAATTTAAAGTGCAAGAAAATGTCAGTGCAATGCACAATATTGTGTTAAAAATAACAAATACAAGGATATTAAATAAATGTGCAAATTCACAAGTGTGTTATGTGTTAAAATAAACGAAAACAACTTACTAAGGAAATAGGGATGTTACACTATGTCTTCCAGAGATATATAAGAACATAATACATGAAGAGAAAAAGGGAAAAATATAGCGTAATACTGTATAATAAAAAATAATAAATAAATGAATGAAGTGAAACTCACAAGGAGAGAGCAGTACAAGTCTGCTCTAACTTCTCAGGCTTTTGTCCACAATACAGGACTGGATATAGACAGGTATTCAGGATGGTAGCTGAATGTAAAATGTGCTTTATTTCCATGTAATTAAAAGTTCACAGAGAATGTGAAAACGCTCTCTATTTCATACAGAAGTCCATACCCCTTTACAGTATATTTTGAAAGAACTGCTCCTAGCATTAGCGGTCTTATGAAACAGTCGGCACTTGCAGGGAGTACTTCCGGAAAACGGAGCTGTGTACGACAATGTGTTGACGTGATGATGTTGTGCGTGTAAAGACGTGATGATGCGTTTCGCCTAGGCGGCTTCCTCAGATCACATCACAATTCAGCTGTCCTGTTCTTTTAGAATTGTCATTGTAGGCGTGGTGTATGATACTCCCTTCACCATTGGCTCTTGTTAAAAACTCCAAGTTTGAATGACTGCATATATTAATTCTAAAGTCCACAATTTGTCTGGCATATCACCTAAACAATGGCAGAACACAGACATACATCATAAAACATAATGAATAATAATAATAATATATATGAAAAAAAGAGATGTCTTTTGATGTCTTCTCTTTTCTTCATATATATATATATATTATATATTCATTATGTTTTTTGATGTATGTCTGTGATCTGCTATTGTTTCGTGATTTTCGTCAGACACACACAATCACTCAGACACACAGGCTCCCTCACAGACACACACTGATACACTAATTCCGCCCCTCCAATGACCCAGCAAACCCAGAGTCAGGGGTGATAGGGCTCTGGGATATGTGAGTTTTTTTTCCCTTAGATTTTTCTTCATTCTATATTATTATGTATTCAGGTGGTCTGCACTATTATTTGTTTGCTTTTTATATATTTACAGATTAATTTAGCACGCTTTTTTTGGTAATTATTGTCTTTCTTTACACATTTCTTGTGCATTGTAGTTTTGAGCGCTGCTGCACTTTCTGTATTAGATTCTATAGCGCTCACAAATTGGTTTTTGTGTATTTACACACTGATACACACACAGAGACTCACTGACAGACAAACACACACAGACAGCATTACTCACACACAGACAGCCATACACACAGACAGCCATACACACGGACAGCCATACATACACACACACACACACACACACACAGACAGCCATATACAGAGACAGCCACACACACACACAGCAGTACGCACACTGACATCCATACCAATACACACACACAGACAGCCATACACACACACACACACACACAGAGACAGCCACACACCCATACACACAAACATACATTTCCCCCCAAGCGAGGGAGCATTGATTTTTAGCTCTCCCTGCTCACCTCCCTCGTGCGCTGCAGTGATGCCTGGAGCCGGAGTGACGTCAAATTCCAGCTCCCGGCATCGCTGCAGGAAGTTGAGCAGGGAGAGCTTACATTCTGCGTTCCCTCGCGGGCCGCGGGCCACAAACATATTAGTTGTGGGGCGCATGAGGCCCATGAGCCGTCCGTTTGACATCTACATCATAGGGTTTGGAATACACGTTTGTGTTCCTGACCCTATAGTGTTCCTTTAATATAAAATACGTGTAACGGATGTTAGATTACCCCCGTAAGGACACATGACGGAAATATTCTGTCATGATTCCCTTTTATTCCAGAAGTTGTGTCTTTAAGGGCTTAATCATGGTCATTTTTACATAATTTGTTAACTGGAACATATGGCTAGTCCCCTCAATATATCTCTTATAGACCTGATTTTCTCCACACGGGGCTATTAGAGGGATGGGTAAGACCTCCATTGGAATAAATTGATAAAATAAAAATGTTATGCTATTCTGACATGTCTTGTTGCAGTAAAATGAAATTCTAGGCAACCAGATCACTTACTGAAGGTAAAATACCAATGAGAAATATCTAGATACTTTGGGTACGCACTGAGCATGCTCAGATGAAATGTTGCAGTTACTGTAAGTACTGTGTATTATGCGACTACATAAAATTCTTCAAACTCTTGTTTCAAATAACAGATGTTTCAGATGTTTCAAATCTACAAACAATGTCTACCGCTGAAAATTCTCTCCTTTGTAGAGTTTTTATTGCTAAGAGCATTGCAGTTGTTATTGTTGGACTTTTCCTCGGCATCAATTTACTCCTAACCAGAAAACAAGTATGTAGTATTTATGTATTTCCATGATTAATGTGTTATGGATAGCTGTAACCTATAATGGATGGGTGGGGTACTCAGCCCAATAAGAATCTGGTCTGCATTTCCAGAGAAAGAATAGGAATTGGGGGGAACAGCCAGAACATGCATTTCTAAGTAGTGGTGCTGCCATAAAGACCAAAATGTATACAAAATACAAAGAAAGGAACAGCGCGCACACAAAAACAAAAAGCATTTGAAAAAGACTACTTAAAATCACCTATCTTAGCAAACAAATAAAGATGTGTGTATGTGTCAGTGTATCTCTGTGTCAAAATGTGTGTATCTGTCAGTGTGTATATTGGTGTGCCACTGCGTGTGTATCTAAGTTTGTGTGCATGTGTCAGTGTGTGCATTTGTGTGTCATAATCTTTGTAAGTCAGTGTTTGTATCTCCATTTCAGGGTGTGTATATGTCAGTATATGTATGTTTTAGTGTGTGTGTTTATGTGTGAGTGTGTTTATGCATTTTTCTGTGTGTTAATGTGTATTTTTGTGCAAGTATGTATGTAGCAGTGTATGTGTATATGTGCATACATCTCAGCAATTAAACACCAACACTGTGTAGAAACACACCCCTTCAATCAAACACAAACATTATATACAAACACATCCCTGCACTCAAATTATAAAATTACAAACACTACACACAAGTACACCACTGCATTCTAATAGCAACAGTACATGCAAAAACACCCGTGCATGTGCACATGCTCTATACAACAACATGCTTACATTCAAAGAACACACAAACACTGCTCAGTAACACAACCCTGCAAGGATTCACAGATAGTAAATCCCCAGCAGGCATAGCATTAGTGGGGGTTCAACAGATGGGGATCTATTTTTTGACCCCATTTTGCTATAGGTGGCCCAATAAAAATGCTTGTACCAGGGCTCTCTCTACATTAGTTCCGCCGCTGAGTGTAACTCCTTGTGTGTATCTCCTTGTAAGATTAAGAAGCTTGTTTATGCAAGCATAAATTGGCAGTTTATAAAAGCTGTATGCTTACACGTAATAAATAGAAGTAGTGATTCAGCATAAGTCGGTGTCTGTCTGATTTATTGCATCCTGAGCACTCAATTTTGTATGTATGTTACTTGATTGTTGTAAGTGTTGCAAATGCTTACAGCTGAATCCTGGCTATTTTTGTATACTTTTTATTTAAAATTGTATACAATGTAACATTCTTCTTCTTTCACTGGGTAAGTATATTTGTACTTAGGCAATGCTGTGCTTTGGAACTTCGGCAACTTCAGAACTTCGGCACTTCAGCACTTTGGAACTTTAGCACTACGACACTTCGGAAATTCGGTAATTTCAGAACTTCGGCAATTCGGACATTTGGAAGTACCCGAATGTCCGAATTGCCCGAAATTCGTCCAAATTCATATTCGGACTGAAGCGAATTGCACATGTCTAATTATTTATTTATCAAGGACATAACTGGGGAGCAAACCTGACCCTATATAGGCGATACATAGATTATATTTTTATTATCTGGAAAGGATCCAAGGTAGATTTTAATTTATTTTTTAACTATCTTAATTCTAATAATTGGGGCATTAAATTAACAAAAAATATTAGCCCTATTACTATTGACTTTTTAGATCTCAATATTTATATTCCTGACCAACAGTTTAAAACGCACTTTTTTTTAAACAAGTGGATGTAAACAGTTTTATTGAAATAAGCAGCTGCCACCATGACCCATGGCTCCAGAATATCCTTAAGGGTCAATTTTTATGGGTCAAAAGAAACTGTTCAGACCAAACAGATTTTATTACTTCGTCATCATTTTTAAAAAACAGTTTTTAAAAAAAAGGGTATCTTGACGATAACCTCCAAAAAGACATAGATAATATTAAGGACTTAAACACATCACAATTACGAAACTATAAAAAGAAGAATCAAAATAATCAAGCGAAACAAATTCCACTTATTTTTAATTATTGTAGTAACATTGGTACATTAAAAAGAATTGTTAGAAATAATTGGCATATTTTAAAGGGAGAGCATGAAATGTATGATTTATTTTTAGAGGGGCAAAAAGTTTTAGACAAATTTTAATGTCAAACTATATAGAAAAGGAAAAAGAGAATTGCAATTTCCTAACAAACTGGTCAAAAACGTTAAAAGGTTTTCATCATTGTGGCAATTGTTATGCCGGTAAAAATACCAATATAACTTAGAAAGAGAAAGATAATTTTACATCTCATATCACTAAAAAGGATTTTAATATTACCTCTTTTATTACATGTCAGTCTAGTAATGTCATTTATTTATTACAATGTGGTTTACAGTGTATAGGTAAGACCTCTAGACCTCTAAAAACAAGAATTTATGAACACATTAGAAATATTAAAATTTGGTTCACAAACCACAGTCTGTCAAATCGTTTTCTAGAGGGACATAATTCAAATCCAAGAAAAATTAAGTTTACAGCAATTCAAAAAATTCAAACCCATTGGAGAGGTGGAAATAATGCTTTTAATCTAAGTAAAAAAGAATCAAACTGGATATTTGAGCTCCAAACCCTATGCCCTAAAGGTCTAAACATAGATTTCAAAATAGGTCCTATACTGTAATAATTATTTATCTATTTTACTATGTCTGGGAATTTATAAAAAATATTCTATAACCCTTATTTTTATATTAATATATTCACACTATTTTTATACTTGCTATCTATTCATTTTGATAAATGTAACGGCACCCCCAGGCATAAAAGGGTTAAACCGCCGTTTAGAAGATCTTCCCCTTCCAGAGACACAGGCAGCTACTGTAGACACCAATCCACCAAACCGGAGAAGCATGTGAATGCTCTCAAATATACGAATGCTGTAAACAGCTGAATAGGAAAAACCATACAAATAGGTTTACCCTCCTAGCAGTCAAACTGGAACAGCATACAGTGAATCCCCCCAAGAACGAGACAAAGCTCCGTGTTGAGGGTCAAGCAGTGAACAGCCAGAGCTGTGGGTTTATTGTTCTTATATACACATTCTTACACATTAGTACCACCCACAGGGTTTTGGAACACAACCAATAAACATGTACAATACACTCAGACACTCCCACACAAAATCCTCCCCTCTACCAGTGATACAATTACCTTACAGTTCGGTGTATTGGTGTCTACAGTAGCTGTGCCTGTGTCTCTGGAAGGGAAGATCTACTAAACGGCTTTTAACCCCTTTTTATGGCTGGGGGTGCCGTTACAATAATGATGTATTATTACTGTATTCCTTGATTTGTTGCTTATTTATTTTAATAATGTAATTTATTGATTTTACTCATATCCTTGCCCTTATTTTCTCCCTCTTTTAATATGGTGATTAAATGAACACTGTTCCTATGTGCAACCTTTGGACTCTGCCCCTTTTCTAACAAGAATTGATGACGGACATTTAGAAACATACATGTCCACGCCCACTGAAACCATGTGAATGTAGCCGGACGCAACCAGAAGTGACGATTATTAACAACTAGCCGCGATATGGCATGTACGCACGGCCATCTTTGGAAGATCAAACATTCCTCCTTAGTGAGTAAAAGTCCAGCGGACATCTTAGATGAGGCGGAAGCATCGAGAAAACGGCAACGGAAACACTCCATATATGGAGAAGACGACGGCCAACTGATACCCAGCTGTTATTGTGTTTGATATATAGGAAGACCTATTGCACTAGGTCGAAACGCGTTGTGCCTTTTTATTGAATTTATTTTATACTGTCTAAATAAAAGTACTTACCTTTTATTTATTTGGTTACCTGGTTCCTGATTTTCCAAACAGAGGACATCTGATATCTCCAGAGGGACCTGAACCCACATACCTACATCTGATTGATGTACCTGCTGTCATAGTTTAGAGCCAACTCATAAAGACTCTAAATAGTAACCTAGGGAACACTTACTTAAGGCGAGAATATCATCCAATGTGTGCACAATCACCATATCTTCATATTTAAACTTTTGTATGTAAGTGTTATTCAGTGACTATACACTTTGGTGATGTCTTTATATGCTGCACTGGGTTTACCTGTGATATTTCACTTATTATCAGCGCCACCTTTTTCTCTGTTTTTGGTCTTACATTTATAATCTAATAAGATGGTTACCATTCAGTAACAAATTTATTGTATATTTATTTAAGTAGTTCCATTTACCCTGCCATTTGCAATATCATTTTGCTTTTAATATGTAATTGATTGATATATGTTGTGTTTTAGGTGTTTGCACAGTCTGTTTTATACACTTGTTTCACTTGGGGAGTCTTTTTCCAGTTTGTTGCCTCGAACACTGGGGTTGTGTGTGCTTTTTGAATGATGATCTTTGCAGTTCAATGGATCGAGATCACTTTCGAACCACCAAGAGTTGCACTTCGTCTGTTGCCTAGGCAATACATTGGAATAGAAACAGCACGCCTTTCACAGTTGGGGGCTCCACATGCCAGCATCTCTAATCAAGCTTGCGCACATTTTGCCAGCTGTGAACAGCGTACAAGTGAAACAAAGTACTCAGTTTTAGTTTAATTTAATTTAATCTGGGGGTATATATTACATTTTCTGCACATGTTATGTTGGTTGTCCTGATAAATGTTTTTGAAGAAAACTGAAATGTCTACATTTTAATGAATATGATGAAATAAAAGTTAGTAAAAAGCAAAGATAGGTGGCGCAATTTTACATATAATACAGGTAAATAGAATAATCAATGATACTTATTCATTCTTGATCCTTTAGTATCAATTAAAAACACATATAATGGACCTAGAAATATAAAACATCAAACTTGCGCACCCTATCTTTGCTGTTTACTAATATCTGTGTTTCTGTGTCTTGTGAGTGGTTTTAGACACTGGGGAAGCAGCATTCACTATTTTGCGAGTGCCAATTTCACCTTTCTGTACCGTTGTCTCTATTGTTTGTTTCGTATGATATGAAAGTAGTTTTATTTTTAAATTGTTATTGAAGTCCCTGGATTGCAGTCTTTTCCTGGTTTTGTATATTTTGTGCCGACCAGCACACATTATACACCTGTTCCAAAGTAGGACCTGATAGAAGAATCGATCAGATTATACCAATGGAGTGGGTTTCAACAATCTTTACTCTTCTTAAGTGTAAGCATAACACATAATTGTGATTATTAGGCTTATGGTATAAGGTCCTTCCTTCACACCAAAATATTTATTCTTTTATGCATGTTACAAATTGGATCTTATGTCTGCGAGGTACGTTTCATAACAGTGAGTATCCAGGCAAAACTTCTCATGTGTGAACCATCTATGGACATAACCAGTTATTTATAGAATTTGGACATTCCACTGATATTATATGTGGACTGTGTTGTATATATGTACAGATTGTGGCATATTTTTTACATATGAGATTTCCTATGTAATCTTTTTACTGTTTTACTGCTGAGAATTTAGTTATTAGTATCCTAGCTTTTTATGTGTAGTATATCTTAAGCACAGTTTACCTTATATATCTCTTACATACATACAAAAGCTATTTTCTATTTTCATTTTTTTTTGTTACTCATACCGTTAGTAGACTTATTTTCAGTTTATTGTACCTCTATTGATAAACCCATTAGAGCCTGATCAGGAACAAGGAGATTAGTATATCTCTTATACATCATCACTCAATTATTCTACTGTGAATAAAAGATAATTTGGAAAAATTGTTAACTAATGGGAAATATATAAATTTAACTGAGCAGATGACACAGATATTGAATGTGCAAGAATGTGGGATGATGCCCTAGAAGATGTTTGTCTTTCTAAAGAAGTGCAAAAGCATGCAGATCATCATGGGAGTCGTAGTTCTGCAAAATCCGTGGATCTACATTTTGGGCACCAATGCTATAGAAGAAACAAACATGAGAAGTTAATCTGGAGATGGGAAAATGATGACAGAAACTAAACAAACCCAAATGGATTCACAGGTACAAGACTACCTTATGTCAAGGACAGATAGAGCAGATTATTCAAATAGTAGAGAGGATCATTGGCACATAGTCAGAAGAAGCTGAAGAGATAGTTGATTGATAGAGGGGAAACAAAAGTGAGAAGGAGGAACAGAAGGTTCCTCACTAAGTATAAATTGACACCAGGAACTGTTTTGAAATATTAGAGAAAGAAACTGATAATCAAACATGAATAAAAATGCCACCGAACGAATGTAATGAGTGGACGTTCCAACTTTAAGGACAGCCGTAATGTTTTACCCCAGCCACCAAACATTCACTACTTGGTTCCAAAGACACACAATTTCCCCACAAAATAGAAAAATAAGAAAAAGAGATGGGAATTTTGGGGATGCAGAGGAGGAAGATATAATAAAAAAAAGATGGAAGATGAAGATATACATTTTTACAAGAGTGAAATTAACTACATCCCAAATAAAGGACTAACGTTTGCTCTAATGAATGATTATAACAATTTAAACTGCTATGGGAATATTCTCAAATTATTAGGATATTATTTTTGAGAAATGTTTTAGGGAAGTACATAAACCAATTATAGTAGATGATCAGAGCGGAGTTGGAAAGTCAATCAAATACCGTGAACTAATATCTACTTCAAAATTATTTTCACAACAACTGACAACAGCACAAATGAATCTATTTACAGATGCTCTTACCCAAGACATTAAGAATTTGAAAAAGAGGAAGAAGTACAGTAAAGACAATCGAACTAAAAGAGAAAGGGAAGCTTTGCTATGATTGAAGAATTGAATAAGATTGATAATAAAACCAACAGATAAAGGGGAGGGATTGTTATCCTAACAAAAAACAGTACACAGAAGAGTCCATGAGGTTACGTGGTGCTAGGGAGACATACATCCATTTGACCAAAGACCCAACTAAAGAGAAATTTAAAAATTACAACATTTTTTAGATAAGGTGTTAACCTAAGTGTAACCATAACTTATTTGTGCTTATTTTAAGGTCCTACATATCAAATTTGTATTCTTTAATGACTATTGCAAATTCAAACTTTTTATCTGCAAGGCACATTTCAGATCAGTGACTATATGGGCAGAAGTAAGCGCTATGGAATATGTTGGCACTATATAAATACCAATATTAATAACGCTTTATGTGTGAACTATCTATGGACATAACCAGCTATTTATAGAATTTGGACATTACACTAATATTAAATATATATGGACTCAGAGGCGTAACTAGGAACCACCTGGCCCGGTGCAAAAATTCCCCCATGTGCCTTGGTCCCCCCATTCTTCTATCCCTCCCCTCCTGCACATGCTGACTATAAGTAGCGTGGCCAAGCTGGTGTTGCCATGCCACAGCCCTGAAGTTATGGCATCCCACAGTTGCACAGATTGACAGTGCGGCCGGGCCCCCTAGAATGATGAGAATGGTCGCATGTATGGATTGTATGTGCTGTGTTTTGTAAATGCACAGATTGTGGCGTATTTTACTTATTAGATATTCTATATAAGTTTTTTACTATTTTCACACTAAGAATTTCATTATTATTATCCATGCTTTTTTGTGTTTGCTATATTTAAAGCGCACCTTACCTTATATATTTGTATTCTATTTTATAAGCAGGTAGTGGGTCTAGTGAGTAAGCAGCAGCTATTTTATATTTTCATTTATTATTGATACTCACAGCGCTAGTAGGTCTATTTACAGAAAAAAAAGTTTGTCCAAAAATTAAGATAATTTGGCATTGCTGGATTTAAGCCATATGGCGGTTCGGCTTATCCATATTTCACTTATGAAAAGAGATTCAGGAAAACTAATCAGACATACCAAAAGGGCATGAAAATGTAATGACAGTGTACTGCAACATATGGACATAGTATAAATATTATGTATATATTCTGCAGTTCACAGATAGGTGCATTTTACTGCCATCTGGTTTACAGACCAAGAGAGAAAAAATAGCCCTACAGGGAAAAAGAGAAGGTGCAGTAAAAAAAATCTATATTCTTATATATTTGTGGAAAAAAGATAATCTACATTACAATAATAACAGAGAAAAACATAGAGCAATAATGTTGCAACAATTTAAAGATGGAAAGTAAATGCAATAATCACACTCACAAACTGAAATTGATTGTAGGCGTATCATAAAGATAATAGAAACCTCAGGACTTGTGGAGCATCATGGCAAATATAGAGGAAAAAAGATAAAAAATAATAATAGTGCAGAGTATCTCAGTCAAAATAGACACTTTAATATAAAGACACACTTACAAAATTGAAGTGAAAAACAGGCACATCGTATAAAATGGTTCAATCACAGGATCCCAGCAAACAGGTCCAAAAAACCAAACAAATAAATAAATAAAAACAAATAAATAAAACTCTGCACTAATCAAAACAGCCCTACGTGTTTCGTTCAATCATTTGAACTTCCTCAGGGAAAAATAAAACTCATTCTATGCATGAACGTCCATGAAGTCCTAATCTTCCTTTCAACTCATCTGGTCTTGGCGCACAGAGTGTCCGAGCCTATCAGCAACATACTTCAGGGTTAACTATCAAGAGTGCAGATAAGGGAGGAGGTGTCGTCATTATGTCAACTGAATATTATGTGACAGAGGCATATAGACTACTTGACGATCACCTTACTTATAAGAAGTTAACTTACAATCCAAACTTTAAGTTTAATCAAGAGCTTAAAACCCTTTTAAATAATGCTAAATCATTAGGCACTCTTGACGAATCCACTTACTCTTTTATTTTCTCAGAATTTCCTAAGGTACCCACTCTATATTTTCTCCCCAAGATCCATAAGTGAAAAAAGAAAGACCACTTGATAGGCCGATTATCAGCGGCATAGACTCTTTGACATCTAAGCTCTCTGAGTATATTGATTTCCATCTACAAAAATATGCTCGGAGAGCTGCATCATATCTCAGGGATACCAAACATCTTATCCAAGAGTTGGAATCGATCGAATGGGCGGATGATTATGTTTGTGCTACTTTAGATGTGACTTCCCTCTACACCGTGATTGATCATGATCTCGATGTAGAGGCAGTCAGGAACAATTTAGAAAGGGATATCAATCTTGTACCTGCTTTTCGTTCTTTTTTGGAAGATGCCATCCGTTTTATTCTAACTCATAATTTTTTCAGTTTTAATAAAGAATTTTTTCTTCACATAAAGGGCATGGCGATGGGCACCAAGTTTGCACCAAGTTATGCCAACGTGTTTATGTGCTATTGGGAGAGATTGTTGATTTGGTCCAATAACCCCTGTGGTGCAAACTTGGTGCTCTGGAGACGCTATATCGATGATATCCTGGTGATCTGGCGGGGCTCTTTAGATGAACTTGATACCTTTTTCACGTATGTCAATCATAATTCCTTATCTTTAATCTTTACACCTAAGGTAGGCATCTCGAGTATAGATTTTCATTTTTTATTGAAAATTTTTCTTTTTGATTTTTATTGAAAATGGAATCATCAAGACCAAAACCTTTTTTAAGACTACCGATTCTAACAGGATACTGCAAGTGGACACCATCCGAACTGGCTCAAGGGGGTTACCAAGAGCCAGTT